GAGAAGGACAGGAGAAAAAGAGAGCAAGACAAAATGAGTCAAGATGAAAGAGAAATGCAGCTGCCTGCGAAACAAGCACTTATGAAAATCATGATTCCTTCTATTCCTCTTTTTCCTGTTCTGCTGAATGCCAAGGCCACGTCAAGGACATGATATGCTCATTTAAGCTCATTGCAAAGCCATTATACATTCAGGATTACGAATTAGCTTAGTTTGGGGCCTGGGTCATTAGTGAGATAGTGAATCTTTCCTCTTTCTCTCTCTCTCTCTCTCTGTGTTGTGGTGTGTGTGTGTGTCTCTCTCTCTTTCTCCTGTCCTCCTATTTTTGTGTGTGCCCGCGTGTACACGTTTTTTTTTTAATGGGCCTGAAATGAATATTCAGGGTTCAACACAAGTTAAACTCAATCTAGAGCATTTATGGCATAATGTTGATTACCACAAAAAATACTTGTCAAACGTTTCCTTAAAAAAAAAAAAAAAAATTGAGGTTATGATGAGGCATTTACAATGAAAGTAAAATGGGCCAGTTTTTCAGGATTTAAAGCAGAAAATGTGAAGCTTATAATTTTCTAAAAGCACCTATGAATTGTAATTTAAAATCATTTTTATCCACCTTATTCCTGACGACCTTACTGCGTTTTGAATTACAGTATGGTGGCACTTCCGGTTTGGGGAACTTCCATTCAAAAAGACTGAAACGAATCATTTCAAATCATAAGGTTGCCCTACAAATAAAGATGATCCGTCAGTTTGACTGGATGAGCTGTCAATTTTCCTTCATGATTTATTTTCAGAAATCATGAGAATAACGTTATTTGGTATTTTAATGTGACATGTTATAACAAGAATATCTATGCAAGAGCTCTTTTCAGTTGCTGCTTTCTTTTCTCATGATGATTTTTATTTTTTCCTTTGCAATCCGCTGTAAAAGTATGAAAAAGGACAACAAATACACCATATTTGTCGTCTGTTCTCCCGAATTTAGTTTACGATATTCTATTAATAATTCACTGGAATACACAAAGAATCTCTCGTAATTCTCCTCAAATCCTCACGTCTCTTTCCAGGTTTGTATTCACGGGTAAATCACTTGACGAAAAATCACTTGATAGTGTCACGTAATGCTGAAGTTAATGAACATGTTTGATTAAGGCTTGTTATACAATAGATAAATATTTGCCTACTATATTTAACCGCTTATGGAGCTATTTTTGTTCTGTTTGATTCTTTTACACTTTTAAATTTCATTTTAATGTTTGATGGTTGAAGGGTGAGTCGATTAAAATTATCGCATTGTGATACTTTTTTTAGCATACTGCGTTCATAGAGCGAGCCTTTCACCAGAGACTGTCTAATATGTCTAATAGACGGGCTTTGCTTTCACTGATTGTTTACAGCTTAACGGAAGTTACACCCATAATTCGCGCAACGCGTCATGGGGCATAGGAATAAGGTGGATAGTAATTTTTCAAGGCTTGTCATTGCAAAAAAAAGAAACTTGCATATATTTTCGCATAGAAAAGCTTAAATTATATTTTCACACATATACCGTGTTAAGTGCAACTATTTTAAATGTTAAGAAATTGGCCCCGTTCACTTCCATTGTAAGTGCCTCAATGTAACCTTGATTTTTAATTTTGTGACAAGTGGAAATTTATGAAGAAAAACAACACTATGCCACAAACGCTGTCGACTGAGCTTTTAGCCGAACCTATAATATTCCCTGAAATATTGCTGAGATATATAACTGAAAACCTGCAATAGGCAGGTAAGGCTTATAGTTTCAAATGAAGATATTACTCTTGAACATAAAAATGGATGTTAAAATGGAGTCAGCTGTTCTGCTTTGCCACTGAACTCAACATGATATATTACCATTCCCACCACCGGTGCCGAATCTGACTGCATTGGACACGCACTCATATTACACTGCTGACCTTTTTCAATTGTGGAAATCCACTCCAAAAATATTAAACAGGTTCATATCCGTACGTAAAGCAACATCAAAGTGTGTCGCTATCTAAACACGGGTCTCTCTCTGGGGGGTTCATGGGTAAATCATTCCCATTCACAGGCTTTGGGTCCAACCTGCACAGCCTCTTCAGTGGACCAGAGAGGTGATTAATCACTAGCCCCTTAATCATGCCCAAAGGTCCCACTTTAATTAAAAACAAAGTTCTCTTTTCATTATTCCACTCCAACTGAAAGACGATAAGACCCCCTCTTCTCCCGTTACATGTTACTGCCGGGGCCCCAACCTCTGTCTCTCTCTCTTAAACAGAGACTGAAAGACTGCAAATGATGAAGAAACATAACAAAGCCACCTATTTCAGCCAGCGAGGAAACAGGTAACCAAGCGATTCCACACACAAGATGGTGATGGACACAAAAAATGCATCCTCTATCAGTAAAAACATATGATCTATACCTTCATTTAAGTTAAACAAGATTCAACTAGGCAAGATTTATATAAAAAAGACTTGAAATTACTTTGAGTCGATACATCAATCCTTTTTCCAAAACATGTTATCTTACATTTACTCACTATTTTAAGCTAAAAGTGTTTAAATTTTAGACGGTGGATGGTTTTGACAGGAAATTTGACCCATAATTGGGTTCAGTTAAAGCAAAGTAAAACTGAGATTATGCTTTTTGGACTTGCCAGAGGATGCTTCGATATTGCACCATATTTTGGCACATGGTCAGACTACTGCCATGACCAAGTAAAAATTGACCCAGAGCTGAAATTTGATAAGCAGATTAACGTTGTGGTTAAGAGTTGCTTTCACAAGATTAGGACTATTGAACATTTAAAGCCTATTCTGTTGAGAAAAGATTTAGAAAAGGTCATTATTACCTTTGATCTGTCTCGCCTTGACTATTGCAATGTTTTGTATGTGGGGTCCTGTCAGACCACTATATCACGCTTGCAACGAGTTCAGAATGTGATGGCTCGGCTGCTGGTGGGTGCTAAGAAAAGTCATCACATTTCTCCTATTTTAGCTTCTCTCATGTGGCTACCAGTGGATTTCAGCATCAAATCAACTCTGCTGTATGTTTTTAAAGCATGGGATATATCCTGCTTATGTATCTGAGCTTACTGCTCTTCATCAAGTCCCTAGGTCTTTAAGATCAAATAATAAGTTATTGCTTTCTGTCCCTCGGTCTCAATTAAAGTTAAAAGGTGATCAGGCCTTTGCTGTTGTGGTTCTGAGGCTTTGGAATAGTCTGCCTTTTAAATGAAGAAAGATCACTTCTTTAAATGTATTTAAAGCTTGTGTTAAAGGGATACTCCACTTTTTTTTTTTTTTTGGAAATAGGCTCATTTTACAACTCCCTCAGTTAAACAGTTGAGTTTTACTGTTTTCGAATCCATTCAGACGATTTTCTGATATTTAGAAGAATATCAGTAACCAGAAATGGTCTCATTGACTACCATAGTACGTATTTTTTCCTACTATGGTAGTCAATGACACCAGAAACTGTCTGGATACTGATGTTCTTCTAAATATCTGAAAATCGACTGAATGATTTGAAAACGGTAAAACCCAACTGATTAACTCTGGGTAAGTTGTAAAATTAGCCTATTTACAAAAAAAAAGTGGAGTACCCCTTTAAGTAAATTATTTTTTTTTTTTTTGGCTTTAGCTTTTCAGAGGTTGGGCTTAGTATCTGTTTTGTTGTTTTTACGTGTGGTTTGTTTTTCGTGCTGCTGACTAGTACAGCACTTTGGTCTGCAGGTGCAGTTGTAAAAGTGCTTTATAAATCAAATAAAGTATGTATATACTTTAAGAAGTGGTGTGATATTCAGTACAATGTGCTGACAGACAGGTAAAATTGATTGAAAGTTGTTAAACAAAGGGTATCCCAGAGGGGGGCAGACAATTAAATGAACTTCGATTTCGGCTCCCAACGATAACCAAAATACAATAGAATTTTTCTATCTGAATACATTTTGATGGACTGTAATTTACTCGAGTGCAATGTCAAAGCTGAATTTACTCTAGTTTTCAGTGTCACATGGTTCTTCAGAAATCATTCTGATTGGCTACCAAAGAAAGTCATTTCTGTCACTTTTGATGCACGCTTGCTGAACAAAAGTATTATTTTTTCTTTCACCTGATGTCAAACTTTTGAACTGTGTAAATTACTATTATTATTATAGTTTTTTTAAATGACTCAAATTTACATGCAGCTGATTGGAGTGCTAAACAACAGGGTTCAATTACAAAGCTTGCGGTGACGGTGTAGAGTGGAATGTGTGTGCTTAACTGCTGTGGCTAATGGCTAATGTCAAATCGCTGAAAATGTTATTTTATAAAGTGGTTAGTCTTTCATCTTGAGTCACCTGGCGGGGAGGATATGGTGAGTTCAGATGTGTGATACAGTTCTCTAATTAAACGGGAGCCGTGTGCAGGAATATGACTAAGCTCCTGAAATATAGCATGACAAATTTCTCTGGAATATTTGCCTGGGATGGTAAATGTGGTTATTTCAGCGTGGAAAAGCACAGATGTGAAAACCCGACATGTGTGTCAATCACCTCAAATACATTTTTTTTCTGCATTTTTGTCTAAATGGTAACGTGTGTAAGAGCGTTCAAATTTATAAAAGCTTTCACAGCACTTCAAAGCTTCCTGGCCACTCTAGCTGTCTGTTCTGATGTAATAGACAGATAAAGCCAAACCCGCACTCAGGGCATTACGATTCAATACGTGTGAGCGACCAAGCAGTCCCCGTTTCCACAAAAACCAGCTGCAGCTAAAAAGAAAAGGCAAAAGATAGTCCAAATGTTAATGTTGGGGCACTGCCTCCAATCAAAACTGCTTGTGAAACTTGCTCGTATCTTGAACAGATACATGCCGAACACCACATTTAGGCCCCTGCGACTATGAAGAGAGAATGTGCATATCAAAAAACTTTCAGCAGTCGTGTGCTCTCTCAGGGGATGAGGGATGAGTAGGTATTATGAAAATTGAGAGGAAGAAAAGGATTCTTACCTGATTCCAGATCACCTGTGAAAAAAAAGTCAAAAGAACAAAGTCAGAGGCACCATTCCTGAACTTGGTTCAAATATTATAGATGCAGAAAACAGAAGCTCAGCTCAATCTCTGATCTAGTTAAATTTCTGGTCCTTAGAGAAAGTAAAATCGCTGATATCTCAAGACACGCAGTGGATCCAATCGAGACTTATTTGAACTGGCTTGCGCACTGATTTACACGAGAATATGAAAAAAGGCATCTTAAAATGAGGAGAGGAAGAAAAACTCTGAACTGTTATGGGGAGAGCACAAAGGAATATAAATGGGTTGAGTTCAAATTAAGGAAATTAAATCAAAAGCCCTATTCATCACGCCAAAAATGAAGAAAAACATATTCATTTACAGTATATTACAGTTTTGCCCAATGACAGAAAGCCTACAGTACAAGTTCTTATTTGCACAGCATATTACTCGCATTGAAAGAATTAATTTTGCTCTGTTTGCAAATTATGAATATAAAAGCACTATATTTTCACTGGCAGCCAAAGCAGTTCTAATTCTGAGGAAATTAATTAAATTCTGAGTGTTAGTAGTGCTAGGTGCAAGCGTCTCCAGGAAACCTCAGAGAGTAAAAAAAAAAAAAAACGTGTAAAAAAAAAAGTATAACCAGTATTTTATAAATTCAGAGAAAATGTATGCCTAAAATAATGTCTCCTTTAATACACTGTGATATCAACCAGAACGTCAAAAGAATTCAGCCAAAAGGAAACATATTAAATGACAAAAACAAAAATAGTGGCCCGTCTGATTTTGTCAATTAAAAACATAAATATTGATCCCATTACAACCTTTAATGCAAGTCGTAAATTTGGGTTTAATTGAGAAACCAAGAGAAGTGGAGACTAAAATTTAATTGCACTACTGTTTTCTCTCCAGCAATGGTATTGGAAGTTCATTGTTTCCCCCATAGATATCCATAATAAAGGCTCGATGTCTTACGGCGGAGTCTCTATTGTCATCACCGGCGGCCATCTTGTCACAGGCAAGCTTTCTGGCGGGTTCTGTTGTTCCTGATGTAAGATGAGTGATCAGCATGAACACAAATACTCGTATCTCGCTGAAGTCGTGACGGTTTGGTTTCTTACAAACGTTATTAACGTGGCTATAATTCTGGATTATTATTTATTTATACACTTAATTTTCATAAGTATGCCGTGTCATAACCACATCTCTGACGTTTATAACAAACCAAATCGTTTGAAAATCGGTAGAAAATTGAGCAAGTTATGGTTATTTAAAAAGTACATGCACCTTTAAAACACAATGTTACGAGTGAGCGAGCTGCCTGTGACAAGATGGCCGCCAGGCGCGGACGTCGACCTCTATTGGCCAGCAGCACGGACGAGACATCTAGCCTTTATTATGGATATCTATGGTTTCCCTTACAATGTATTCAGCAGTGGCACAGCGCCACCCCTGGATTTTCATCGCCGCTGCAAAATCTTCACATGATCAATTGGTAATTGAATGCCGAAGTGACGACGTCACTTTGTAGGATAACTCGGAAGTTAGCGGCGCATGGGTTCCCTCGATCGAAAAGCTTTTGGAAAATCGCAAAAAATAAGATCAGTGTTCAACAAAGAGTTGTGACCCTTACACCTTTTGTCTATCAAGATAATCTTTACAAGTTAATCCAAATTTTTTACATTTTGAAGCCTATATAAAGTTAAAAAAAACAACACAAAGTAAAAAAAAAAAAAACAAGCAGGTTATAATTGGTGTGTTTTATGTCATAGATCAAAACGTGAAAATATTTAGAGGCTTTGTTCACCACAGACCTTATTTCAGGCAATTTAGCAAAAACCCATTCAAAAAACCCATAGACTTTAGGGCGAGGGAACCGGCTAAAATGCTGACTCACTTCCGCGTTTTGGCCAACAAAGTGACGCCATAACTTCGGCACTCTATATCACGACATTCACTTACACCTAAAAACACTGAGACATGGCGACCTTTTTGACAAGAAAGGAGGAAAGAGCTACATATGGAAATATTTTCGATTAGGCTAATGTCACGTTGCCATAAGGGGCGGAGGGGCCGTTCACATAGCGTGTTAATTTGCGCATGCAAATGCTTATTTCAAATGTATTTTTTAAAAAGAAGTCTTCTGGAGGTGCATGCCGCCGGGGCGCGCGGCCTGGTAACAACTTCCGTCACAGCACCGCTGCTGGAAAAAATTCGAGGGGAAACACTGAAGTTTGTTTTAAAATGTCACAAGGTCATACTCAAAATCTATTCAAATTAAAATCTCAATATCATCATTTTTGTAAAAGCTATTTGGATATCAAATGAACAGTACAGCCACACTAACATGCATTCAGATTTCAGACAAGGGTCGACGGTGGTAAATTTCAACTGAAAAGTTGAACTGGGGACAACGTTGTCAAGTCAGGGATGATCAATTCAACACATTATTACATTTTCACGTTTCATGTTTTGTAATGCACTCGAATACAATTTTTGAATACAAATTATTTATTGGTGCGTAATACTTTTTCCTATTAAGCTTGCATGAATTATTCTGTCCTTCATAATGGCTTTTTTTTTTTTTTTTAAATGTCAAAACCTATTAAATGGCTTTACAGACAAGGCTCAAGCTTAGTCAAAGACTAAAATCCACGTGTCTTAACTGAAAGCAACTTGCAGTGCTTATTTTTTTTCTTTGTCTCAAGATGCACCCTAGAAATTAGGTACAGGTACAGAAACTGAATAAAGTAATTAAGTGTAAAATAACACTAATATGGATTAACCTTTATTTAATTTGTACTGTGAAGATTATATGCAGCGTGATTAACATTAAAACAGGCAGCAGCAGGAATATTACTCTGCTGTCACTTTAAGACTAATGCAAAGACCCAACATAATGATGCATTCTTTCAACTTTTTACTTGAGCCATAACTGACTGTTTACTTGGATATTCGCAAAGACTGACATTTTGAGATAAATCTGTGTGAATTTGTCCATTTAGGGGCAGGGAGATGTGAAAGAGAATTCATTGTATTATTTGCATGCTGTCTGGGATGCGCAGCTGTATGCACTTCAGGTGTGTACGCAAGTGCATGCATTCTCTTTCGCTTTAATGCTTAAATTGGCAAGGCTTGAAAATGCGTGCAAATGATAAACTTGTGTGACCATGCAGCACTGGCCCGATCGGAACAGTGACAGTTCCTTCAACTGTCCAGAACGTCCATCATCCTGAAAGGAGCACACGCATCCAGCATGTTAAGGACTGAATGAATGACAGGGCCCCTGCTGTCATGCAAGGTAAATAAGAGGATGACATCTAGTGGGAAAAACTAGTAATAAGATTAACGTCAATCAGATATTATTGAATGTATATGAAAAAAATTATTTGTGGCTTTTGAGAATCGACAGCGAAAATTATTTTTTCACTGACACGGATGAACACACTTCCTCAAATTCATAGTGCTAATGATGGCCATAGTTTAGACACAAGCTCAAACAGACGGTCTCAATTTCAAGTTCATTGTCGTTTGTAGACTCGTGCTTCAGACGCCTGTCACGCCTAAGGCACTCCCCATAGCACCCTCTAGGGGACACAGCGCAAGTTCACTTTCAAAAGGGAACACAATCTCTCCACCAATGTGTTTAGTGCTGTTTTAGTGCTTTAGGTCTTGAAGTGACAGCAGCCTAATAATACTAATTTACTAAATTTACTTAAATACTAGGCTAGATCCACCTGAAAAATCTAAAGCACTAAGTAATTGGTGTCTTATTTGTTCTATTGTGTTTATTTGACATATTGTTTGTAATGTTCTTTGTTATTTTATCACTGATAGTTAACTGGTTTACTTTAATAATTGCTTAAGAACTTTTTACTTATAGTATAGACGAATCCGACGAGCGTTCTGTGTAGGCTGCCATCTTGTGGCGACGCCATTACTGAGCTGTTACACCGGCATAGACATGTGCACCGGTATGTAAACAAACCTCGGTGATAACGCGAAAGCACCCTCGATGACAGCTACAGCCAGGCAGAATGACTTGTTGCGTTGATGATGTTAGACAGCGGCCTCCAGTCACAGATGAAGGTACAAACGATCTTACAGATTATTTATGAAAATAGCTTGGCAAGTTGGCAAGCTAGCTAGGCTAACATTTGCTAACGAGGAAACTATAAAAAAAATCTGTCCATTTGGCAACAATAAATAAATGAATGAAATCAAAAAAACAAATTCATGTTTTCCCTTTGTGTCCATTATTTATCTAATTTTCACATTGCAACGGGCAAGGGTAAGGTAACGTTACAGCTAGAAAATATACATAATATCGACCAATTTTAAACCATGGAAAGAGGTCAATATAACAGCAGGAGAACAATTATGTCACATAACTTTATATTTAGCTCAGGAAAGCCATTTAATGACCATAGCATGTTAATTGAATAGAAAAAATAGCAAGAGGAGATTTTGCAAGATCAAGATTTTTTTAAAGAGCACGTATCATGGATTTTTGAAAATTGCTGTTCATTTAGTGTGGAATATAGCTCTAAGGGAATGAAAACATCCTGCAAAGATTTATATCTGAAAGTGCACCGTATATAAAGTTATTGTCTTTCAAAAGTGAGAGTCGACTCTGAGTCTATGAAATGAATTGTTTTTGAAACGAGTCATTAGCTGGTTCGTCGTGACGTAGATACAAAACATTAGCTCATTGGCCGTCAAAACTTCAGCTGAATAGCGTCATGTCGAGAAGACGCTGTGTTCTACATTGCAAAGACAGTTTAGCCACTTGTTTTCATTGCCCAGAGACGAGCATGTGAAGAATCAGTGGTCAGAGTTCATATTTGCAACGCCCGAACCTTGTGTTTTCATCATTTTAATGACGAATCTTTCAAAAACATAAATGAATTCAGATGTGGATTCGCAAGCCGGTTGTTCCCGAAGGAGGGCTCAGTATCCAGTGTATATGGATCAGGTTCGTCCTCCTCCGAATCACAATCTGTAAGTAT